TCTCTTTAAAAAAAATTTCCCCTGGCTACTCTCATTCACTAAATTAAAAAAAAAAAAGATTCTTGATGATGGTTACTAGTTCACAGAGAGCCCAGGAATCAGAGAATCCACATATCTGATAAAGAGAGATCTGGGCATGCTGGATTTCTAACGTAATCTTTATCCCAAAACCATGTCAGAGGGAAGTGGGATGTTACAGTTATAGATGGGTCATCTTAGGGATGTCCATAAACAACAATGGATAAAGGAGATATTTCCCCCATGGAAAGGACCAAGACCAATTAATTTTATTGATAAGAAATTCACTCCACTGTCTAGAAGGATGCGCTTGCTGTGCGCTGTAGATTAGAGATTGTTTTCTCTTCTCCCTTATTCCAAATGGAAGACTTTTTCAAAATTGTGATCCCATTTTCCTCTGCTATTTCATATTGATTATATAGGGATAACTAAACTTATCTTTTAGCTATCAATTGCAAAATCTTAATAATTCATATCCATACCTGATCAAGAGACCCTGAATGAGTAAAGCAACTAGATATGACACTGTTTTCTCTACCACTGGAAGTGGGTGAGTATGTTTTTGGTTGGGTTTAGAATCACTGCATTATTAGGCAGGTACATTTTGAAATTGTATGCTTATTAAGAAAAGTATAGGTGGATGAAATAAAGGGTGAAATATACTGAACACAAATTGCTTATCTGCCCATCATTCCTTCCTTTGGGGACCCATTTCTCTCCTCCTCACAGTCCTGGTGAAGTTGTCAATTATGGTGGCCCAATCTTCCATCCTAGAGATAGGTTCATGTCCAAAGCTGGCCAAAGTTGTCCCTAGGATTTCAGAGCTAGAGCTAGATAGACCAAAAAGAAGGAAGTAAAGTCAAGAAATAGAAAAATCATCATTGAACCTCTAGACATCCAGGTCTGAAGGCAGACACATCCTTTGATTTATCAGTTATGTACACTAATTAATCTCCTATTGGCTTAACCAGGTTTGAGTTTTTGATACTTGCAACAGAAAAAAGTATAGACTAATACATGTACACACAAACAGAGACACAAATACCATATTTTTCAAATTCAGACATTATGCAAGTCTTCTACAATTTTATTAGGGGTCAGCAAACTTTTTGTCTAAAGGAGAAAATAACTATTTTAGGCTTTATGAGCCACCTATGGCCTTTGTCTCATTTTGTTTCTTTTTCTTTGCTTAGAAAACACTTTAAAAATGTAAAAACCATTCTTAGTTTGTACATTATATAAAATAGGCCATAGGCCAAATTTGGCCCACAAGCTCATAGTTTGCTGTCCCCTGGTCTAGATCATATTAAACTCTGAAACTACGGAGTCAGTTGGCCAGTCCCTAGCTCACACCCTATAGTATGAAGCAAAATATCCTAAATGTCATTTTGGTGCAAGTGTCTTAACATGACTCAGAAATGAGTTAAGATTCAGGGTAGAAATAGAAATGGGTCAGTCTTATCTGGTGTGCCCATTATCTGAAACATGGTAGACAATGAAATAAATGGTAACCAGTATTATTTCTTGGTAGATAAAAATAATTTTTCAAAATGATGCAGCTTTCCAAAGACTTAGTCCAAATTGTTCCAGTTTATCCTTGGTGACACGCCTACATCTTTTTTTTTTCTTTTTTCTATTTTTTTTTATTTTTTTGGATGCCAGAGATTGAACCCAGGGGCACTTAACCATTGAGCCACATCCCCAGCCCTTTTATTTTATCTTTTATTTTGAGACAGAGTCTTGCTAAGCTGCTTAGGGCCTCACTAAGTTGCTGATGCTGGCCTAGAAATTGTGATCCTCCTGCCTCAGCCTCCCAAACCGCTGGGATTACACTCCTCTTTCTTAATCTCCTTCAGAAAGACTTTCTCTGATCTCCCCTACCAATAAGCCCAAATTTGGTTTTCTTCTTCCTACTGGCACAGACCCTGTGTGACCCTCCATTGTAACTGCATTCATGGCCTGTCTTTCCCCTTATCCAGGTATTGTAGTCTGCACCTAAGTCCCAGCACCCAGAACCATGTTTAGCACCTAACACTGAGAGCTCTCTTTTCCTCTAGGTGAATATCTGTTCGAGTGTGCAGGGGCTGCATATCCCCACCTGTGTCCAGGGTACTCCAACTATGTGTCAGCATTATGCTGGTATACACATCCCCTTAGCACTGGTTCCTCTCTCTGATGAAAATTATTGGTGGATGTACACTGAGCCTTACCTGGTAATGTTAATTTTTATTCCCATTCCCTCCAAAAATGAGTCAAAGACAAGAGGAACAGGTGGGAACAAGTTTTCTTAGAAACCATATGAAGGAAGAATCCTCTGACCCCACCCCACATTCTTTACTGTCTGACTGTTATCAGATCAGAGACCTCCAACATCAGCAACATCTGGGAACTAGAGAGCTCCCACACACAGCTGGGGCCTCAGACTAGGCTAATTCATTTCTATGGGGTAGAGAGAAAATTATCCCCCTGGAAAAATATGAGCAGGGCCTGTGGGCACAGGAAAGACTGACCAAGGCAAGGTGAATCACGGTTTTCTAAGCGGAATCTTTTGCCCATCTCACAGAAGCAGGCAGGAAGCACCACCATTGATCAGCTTTATATGGCACCCACTGGATACAACAGACAGACAAAGACGGACAGACAGAGCACACACCACTTCTAAGCTGAACACTGCTCACCATCTAAAAGCACCTTGGATAAGCACATATGAGACACTCTTGCATAGGAAAGATGTACTTTTTAAAGGAATGAAGAAGTATTTTGGCAAAACATCTATTTCCCTCCCAGGTCCTGGGTAAACAGGGACCCCTAATTCTGAAGCTTCTACATATTGAAAATTATCCCCTTCTCAATGGCAGTATATACAGTAGCAAACCTTCCAAGTCTGTTGTCACAGCCCTCTACGTATATCTTGAATCTACTTTATAGGTAGGGAAATTTAAGAGACAGAAGGTGGCCTGGAGCAAGGGGACACTGGGGCTGGCTCAAGGGGAGGAGAAACAGGAGGTGTCTCAGTTCAGCCAAAGGCAAGGCCTCTGTCTATTTGGACTGACTGGGATGAAAAAAGCTCATGTGGCCAAAACTCCCTCTTTCTTCCTTCTTGGGAAAGCAGTGGTTCCATGAGAGAAGCCATTGAGAAGGAAAGGGAGGTTATCACTTCTGCTGCCCAGGAGTCCTTGTAGGATGACAGAATCAAGGCAGGCCTGAACCCCTCTTGGGGCCTCCTCAGGGATGACCTCTGAGGCTGGAGATTGGAGATTATAGGTTCACTGCTTCCATAACCTTCTTTTTATGAGCCTGGACCTCTTGAGTCCTTAATTATCTTGAAAAGGGAAGGGTGGGGGAGTGGTTTAAGAGGGGATGAGACACAAGACAATCTTTCCACGCCCTCCCATTGCCTAGGCTGGTGCTATCAAAGGTCTCCTTCACCCTGTCTCCTAGGGATATTTAAAGGCAGCTTTTATGAGACTCTATACTGTCTTTTTAAATTTCTCTTGTGGTTTTTTCTTGTTTGTTTTAATTTATATAGATATAGATATATATATATTCTTAAAAAAAGCAATAGTCCTTTGGTCCCTAAACTCTAAGGAATGATATGATTTTGAAAGAAGTAAATCTGGGCTTCCCTTGTAGAGAAGCCCTTGGCACCCCCAAGGCCCTCTGCTGGTTCCCCAGACAGTCAGTTCTCAACCAGTCCTGGTTGCCCTGACAGCCTGAGCTCTCTGCCACAGGTGCAGAACAACCCACTTGATAAGAACAATCCTTGAGTGGCCTGAGCCCCAGGCGCCAGCCTCAGGTCTGATCCACTTCCATCTGCAGCTGCTCCTTCCGGAAGGGCTGCTCCAGCGTTTCTGTGCTTTTTCTTCCCTTTCTTCTCACTCGTCAGTTTCTGTTGTTGGGTATTAATTGATAAGGAGAGAGGGGGAAGGTAAAAATCACCGTAGAGGGAAAAACAAGAGCAGCCTGCCTGCTTAATGACAATGTAGATGAGTAGCTAGACCTCTCTTCTTGGCAGCATCCTGGTACACCAACGCCAGATCCTGGGTCTTAGGCAGATGATTCCCAATGCCCCTGCAAAGGGTTCCTGGAGCAGTATAAGTGAGGCAAGGCCAGGTGGACCTTAAGGGATAGTGAGAACACCTCTAAAAGTTGCAGACAGCCTTCTAAGGACCCATGACCTGGCCAGAAACTAGAACTTGTCATCTCTCTGTCCATCACCCACCTGGCCTGCATATACTGCCTCTTGAGTATATTTGCTTCTCTCCCCTCATCTCCGAGTTCACTGTCATTACCTCAGCCCTTATATCTTGTCTCTTCTTTGTTCAAACTCCTCAATGGTTCTTTACCACCTTCAGTGTAAAGTCAGAACACAGGCTATAAGACTCTTTAAAAACTAGCCAAACTTTCATTCTCAGAGCCCTCTCTAGGGCCTTTTGTGTATCTCCCAGCCTATGGAGACAGGAATATTGTCTAATTTATCTTGGTCCTTAGAATGAAGGAAAAACTCTCCATCCAAGGATTCTTTCTAGTCCTGGCTCTTCTCTTTATCCCATTTGCCTGGCATCCATCTGAGACTCACCTTTCTGTGGCTAGTCAGTGAGAGCAGATCAGTAAGGCCGGTTGGCATCCTTAGGCCTCTTTAGCTGGACCTTGAGCCTCTTCATGCCAATTTGAAAGCCGTTCATGGCCTGAATAGCAGTCTGGGCACTGGTTGGATTGTCAAAACTAACAAACCCTGGGCATGGGGGTGGGCAAAGAGGTTAGCTGCTAAACCTGCCTAGCAGGGCCTCCTTTCTTTTTAACCAACCCCCTCATTTCCCAAGTTCCTCAGGCCAGTTCCAAATACCTCTCCATTTTTACGTGTGTGCATGCAATATACATAAGAAGCCCACCCATAAATGCAGATGGTCGGAGATTCCTAAGGCGTGATTCTTGGAAGGATGGGAGATAACTCTGTGGGAGAAGTGGGGCAGTGTGTTGGTTGGGTCTTTCCCTGTCTTTCCCTGCTTGGATTGGCTGTCTCCCTCTACTACTCCCATTCTAGTCCTCAGAATTGTAGTTGGAGTTGGAGGGTATCTTTGGTCCCAGAACCAGATGATTCTGGCTCTTGTCAAACTCCAAAGCTCTGACCTGGTTGAATACATTCTAGACACCTAAGTTTCCCAAGTGAACATGAAAGAAGATTTGTTCTTTGTCTAGGCTTAGCCTCCATCACTGGCCTGTGACCCCACTTTGTGCCACATATGCAGCTGCTGGAAATCACTGCCTTATTGTAGAGTCTGTAAGGGAATTCTGAGGCTAGGAGTGGGAGAAGCCAAGGTATGGGGCTCAGCTCACCAAAACATTTGCTCTGGTTGGTGGCTCGATCCACAAAGACTTTGGCAGAGACAACGGCCCCAAAGGGCAGGAATGTCTGTATGAGTTCTGCATCACCAAACTCCTGAGGCAGGTGATAGATGAAGAGATTACAGCCTTCCGGGCCTGCAGGAACAGTAGCAGGCTGGTTAAGGGAAGGGACCCTGAGTCCAACCCCACCCAGGCTCTGAACTCCAGCCCCCAGTCCCTCACCTTCTCTTTGCTGCTGGGGTAGGGCTGAAGGCTGCTGGGGAAAAGCTGTGCTCACTGGGGCATAGGCCGTCGGATAGGCTGCTGGAGACAGAGGTGGGAGTGGGCAATGATCCCCTGGAGCCATCCCCCAAACAGGACCCCAGCCATTTCTGATCAGTTCAACCCAGTCCACCATAACCCTTGTCCCAAGAGAGGTTGTTGAGATTTGGGGTGAGTTGGAAAGGAGGGTTGACTCTTCAGAACAGACACTAAACCTCCCCACAAATCTCCCTATTTCTTTCTGGGGCCCTTCAACCCCCCCCAGGCCGCGCAGCGCCAAGCAAAACCTGCATAGTGGTGCATCCCAGCGTAGGCCTGCTGCAGGGGGTCAGCCACACCAGGGCTCTGGGCTGGGGAGAGAGGGGCACAAGGCCCACGGTGAAGGCCAGTGGGCAGGGTCAGGTGAGAGACTCGGGGAGTGTGGGAGGTGGTGGGTTGCTGTGAGAGGCAGCAGGGATAATAGGAACCCCTTCCCCAAAGCAAGGCCCTGCCCCCCATTCCCTGCTCCTTACTCCACTGAAGGGAGATCTGGGCAGAGTCGGGTGGGGTGGCCCACCTGGATAAGGAGAGAGCCCATTATTGTAGAGCGTGTCAGAGCCTGGCTGCCCGTTGGTCTGGGGAGTCAATGGGCCAAATCCATTGACCCCAATGGTCGCTGGAAGACCGGCGAGAGTGCCAGGACCACTGCCAGGCTGGGAGTTGGCTGTTGGCAGTGAAAAAGGTAAGTGAGTCAGGTTGTGGCCCATCCCACCCCTCCCAGTGGCTGCTCAAGGGTGCTAGAGTCATACCTGTTGCAGGCAACAGCGGCGCAGCCACCAGGCTGAAAGCCGCCACGTGCTGCATTTGGGCTGCCACTGCAGCTACAGGGCCTAGGCCCGGGCCCTGTGCAGCTGCCAGCAGGGCTGCCTGGTGCTGCAGGATCTTTGGGAAGTAACAAGGACATGTTGGAGGGCTGCCTTGGTTCCCAAACCCCTAACCTGGCCCAGCCACCTGCCCACCGGTGCTGCCTGAGCCAGGCACCTACCGCTGTGGTGTAGGCGCCACAGGCCCCAAGTGGCAGTGGTGTGGGATGGAAGGCACCCAGCTGGCCAGCCATCTGCTGCATTCGCCGCAGCGCTCGCTCGCGGTCTGTATCTGCCAGCTTGACCACGAGGCTGGACGAGGCGCCCTGGACAGAGTAGGGCAGGGTAGGCCGTAGTGACTGGTTCTGATACCAGCCCAGTCTCTGGGTCAAGGGCCTTCCCCATCAGGCCCTTGACCCAGGGTACCGAGCTCATGGGGGAGGAGAAGCCCGTCCCGCCCCACTGGCCTCACCCTCGGCCCAGGCACCCGCCCTCACCGCCATAGTCCGGCTGCCGTGCAGACCCTGGATGGCCGCCTGAGCTTCCCCTTGACTCCCGAACTTGACAAAGGCACAGCCTGGGGCAGGACAGAGGGATGGGTGGCTCAGGCTACAGAGGCCAAAGGATCATGTGGCCCCGAGTGTGAAAAGGTCACCAGGTAATCCCAGTGGGCAATTCATGTCACCTTTACTGGTCCCGTCAGGGCTCCGCAGAACTGTGCACTCCTCAATATGACCGAAGGGCTGGAACAGGCGTCTGACGTCCTCTTCACCCTGCTGCTTGCCCAGCATCCCCACAAACAGCTTCCGGTCCTCTGGGGACAAAGCCATGAATGACCTGGGGACTCTAAATCTTCCTGGACACCCCAGAGTAGATTGAAGAGCTTGGAAAGAAAGTAGCTAACCAATCTAGCTCTTAGGAAAGAAGTGTTGGAAATGAGAAGGCCCTGGGACTCCAAGGTTGGGTCTCTTTAAGGAGCAAGATAGGCCAATCTAGAGGAAAGGAACTCAGCTCAGATTTCCATCAGGAAAACCTGGGTCCTGGAGAAACCCAGAAAGATTCATTTTTGCTCTTGTGGGGAGTGATATAGTCTTGATAACTTGGAGCCAGTAGATCCTTATATGCATCGATTTATGTTTAGCATTTCTGTTAGTTTGGGAGATGCTGTTTCAGACCCTCCTAGAGATATTAGGGGAGGGGTACTCAGAGAAGGCCTTTGTATTCAGATTGGGTCCAGAGATGTACACCTTTGCTGGTCAGCCTGGAGGCTAGAATCAATGTCCCTTCCTGCTCAAATCAAGGAGAATTGTGAGTTAAAAGAGCAGAAAACAGTTGTTTTATTATACTACCTCATCCTCAAGACACTGAGCAGTGGAATGATGAATCCTTACCACCAGCACTAAATCCAACCTGGTCTTGTCTCCCAAGGGCCTATAGAGGAAGCTTGGGTTTCTGAGCCTCCAACATTAGCATTTGCCCCTTTACAATTGATGAATTATCTGAACCCTTTCCTTATTTCCCACTTCTACCAATCCATCCCCTCTCCTAGTTTCCAGAGCCTTCCCTGAAACCTGTTAACCCCTCCATGACTTCCCTTGTTCTCTTGCCCGATCTTTCCTCCAAGTGTTCATGCTATGGGAAAACAAATTCTGCCTATAGACCTAGATGACCACCTAAAAATAAGTCTGATCCCTCTGTATACCCACACTGGCTATGGGAGTGGTAGAGTTGCAGGAAAGGGACTTTAAGCTAAGTCTGTGTCCCCTAAAGAAAACTCAAGGGTTGGGGTTAGAAACCAGGTACTAACTGCACATAAATGAAGTTAGGCCTCTGCAACACTATCCAGGATTCTAGGATAGAGGGTACAGACCACTGACCCTGCTGGTTAAGTCTACTTCCTCTTTACACTAAAGTAAACCTCTGAATTTGGGATGGGGCTTGCCTATGTATGGAGTGATATATGTTAGAAGAGAAGGGATGGGTGGGAATATAGCTTTGGGCTTCATCTTCAGATCTTAGAGCTCAGAAAAATCCATCCAAAACTCCTTTACTCTTTGCCAAACTTGGCTAGGCAGATAGGGTCCTTGAATTCTGTGTACAGAGAAAACAAGTCTGGTAGGGGTCACAGATTGAAGTCCAAAACAGTGAAATGGAAGTATAGATCAATAAAAGTTAACAATGGGAATATCAACAAGGCTATGTGTGTGTCCATATTTCACCTGGTTTGTTTGGGGTTCAGCCTTAGCTGCCCTGGGGATCCTAAAATGTTTGTCAATGCTGTGTCTGTGTGGTGGGCAGAGGCTGCAGTTCATATGTGGCAGGAGGAATATGTTTCAGCAGAATCCACCCTCTGTCCAGAGAGGGGTACTGCCTGGTGATCCTGTGTGTAAGGGAATGGATAACGCACCTATGGCTGAAATTCTGAAGGAGGTGCTGACCTTTGGTGGTGAGCATACAATCCAGTGAGTGTTCTTTGCTTCTGGGAGTGTTAGCCACAGAATAGTGCCCTTGAAACAGATCTTTGATTTCTCAACCTTTTTTTTAAGTGGTAGAATACATTGTTTCAATAAAAATCTTAGGATGAGGCTCAAAATTTAGGGAGAAAGTAGAACTTCTCTGACTGAAACCAGAAAAGGGGGACTAAAATCCCTCCCGCTTAATCTTTTCCTATAACCCCATAGAGGGGGCTCAAAGGAAAGCCCTTTGAAACCATTAACATGGATGATAAAGAATAGAGTGCCAGATAGTGTGCAGAGGGATCTGAGATCATCCTGTTCAAAACCTGAGAGAACAGGAAAGGTCTTTCATGAATCCCTTGACCAATCTGATGTTCATTATTTTGCCTTGACATTGGGGAACAAGGTCTATTTAGACAAAGAGTCAAACCCCAGAAGTCTATGTTCTTAGGTCTGACACTAAGATATGACAATGTAGCAGCAGAAGGCCTAGAAGAGACTAGAGAAGATGTTGGGGACTTCCAGAGTCACAAGGGGCTTCACAGAATCCCAATTTATAGTGTAGCTGTATCATTGGATAGGGTCTATAAGATGTTGATGGCACCCAGATAAGATGTCACACCACATGGACCAGAATCCAATTAGCCCTATGTAAGGAAAGAGATCACAGGTTCAGATGAAGCTCCCTACAAAGGAAAGAAATTTGTATGGACAGTAATGATCTGAGCCTTCATTTGTACTTCCCCTTGTTGCTTTTTCTGCTGCTGATGGTCAGTTGAAGCTCATGTAATAATCTATGAAAATCTCTGATCCTTTTCTCCAATGAGACTATACTGAATTAAGAATTTCCATTTTCATGTCAGGGTACTGACCCTATGGTTCTGTACTACTGGGCTATATAGGACTTGACACTGAAATGATCACCCACGATGGGCTCAGATCTATGTTGCCTATTTCCTAGGTATCACATTGGATATAGAATTGTCTTTTCTACTTCACAGGAAATTTGAAAATGTTTGACAGGAGGATGCAATGGGTCACAGTGACCATGAACCTCAGGTAATCCAAAAATAGTGGAATAAGTTTCTCAAGAGACCCAATCAAAGAAAGTACAGGCTGTACCTGAGAGTAGCTTCCAAATCCACATCCCTGAAGATGTGGAACTGATTGATGCCTACATACAGGATTGATCATCTCCTCTAGGTCAAATTCTACCAGTTTGGTAAAGGGAGGATATTACAAATCTGGCATGATGGTTCATGCCTGTAATCCCAGCTACTCCAGAGGTGAGGCAGGAGGATTGCAAATTCAAGGCCAGTCTGGGCAACTTAGTGAGATATTGTCTCAAAATAAAAAGAGTTGAGGATGTGACTCAATATTTACCTAGCATGTGCAAGGCCCTGGGTTCAATCCCCAGTGCCAGGGGAACAAGGGGGAGGATACTACAAGGGGCAGGTCAGGAAGGTCTGAATAAAAACATCCCATGGGTTGTGGGTAGGTCCCTAGAAAAATGGGAATATCAAACATGGAGGCTCAACCTCCCTTGAGTAGAAGGAATTAGAAGGCATCATCAGTCTGGAGATGAGACATAGAAGAGAGTAGGTTCAATCCCCAGTACTGTAGGATTGGAAAGCCATATAGTTGAATGGTATAACTGCATTTTCCTGTTTTCATTTAGTGTGTACTCTTTGTTCTTCTCTAAAATCATTTTTAAACCCTAAACAAGTGGCTTGGGCTCCCATAGGCTCCTCCATGAAACTGCCTTGGCACAGTGGTCATGTGAGTCAGGAATTCTAATACAAAAAATAACAGGTTCGAGAGCCCCTAAATCCACACAGAGTTAGTCTAGTTCATTTAATATGTAAATAACTCCTAATAGGTAAAGAACTCATTTTCCTTAGAAAGGGAACCAGGATGATGTTCAAGAAAGGAGGCTGTGCCTCAGGTGTCCAAGTTTCTGGTTTCTAAACCCTTCACACCCACTCCCCTCCATATTGATTGGATGTCATGATTGTAGGGACAGAATAGGGAAAGGTTTCAGCCTTTGAGTATCAACTATTAAACCTATCCTGAAAATACTAGTTCACCTTTCTGTCCAAATACCATCTCAAAAAGTCCTGCTGGTGGCAGCAAAGCACCTCTCCTCTGGTGTTATTAGTGATGAGTGCAGAAGAAGCCTGCTTGGCTTCTTCTAACTAAAAAATTGACTGAAGGAATATCCAGGACAGGCAGAGACTCCTGTCTAGATATGATAAACATCAAAAAGGACATTAATTTTAAAAACAAATAACCCAAAGCTGTTAGAATAAATAATTAATTCATTTAAGTTGCAAGATACAAAATCAATGCTCAAAAATTTGTTGCATTTGTATACACTTACAATTAACAATCTGAAATGAAAATTAAATAAACAATTACATTTATAATAGCATGAAGAAGAAGAATAAAATATTTATAAACACATGTACACTGAAACTACAAACTTGCTAGAATGAATTAAAAAAGACAAAAATAAATGGAAAGACATCCCATGTTCATGGATTGGAAGATTTAATATTGTTAAGGTAGCAACCCCACTAAAAACAATTTACAGATTTAAATGTAATCTCCTCCAAAATCCCAATGACATAGAAAAATTCATCCTAAAATTCATATGTAATCTCAGGGAACCTCAAATGCCAAAAATTATTGAAAAAGAAGAACAATTCCCTAATTTCAAAACTTACTACAGAGTTACAGTAATCAAAACTGTGGGGCTGGGGATGTGGCTCAAGTGGTAGCATGTTCGCCTAGCATGCATGAGACACTGGGTTTGATTCTCAGCACACATAAAAATAAAATAAAGATATTGTGTCCACCTAAAACTAAAAAATAAATATTAAAAAAACTGTGCTACTGGCATAAAGACAGCCAATATAGACCAACAGAATAGAAGAGTCCATAAATACTTATTTTTTATGGCCAAATGATTTTTTTTTTTTTTTTTTTTTTTGGTGTTGGAGATTACCGGGGATTGAACTCAGGAGCACTCAACCACTGAGCCACATCCCCAACCCTATTTGTATTTTTTTTTAGAGACAAGAGTCTCACTGAGTTGCTTAGCCCTTTTCTTTTGCTGAGGACAGCTTTGAATTCCTCAGCCTCCCAAGCTGCTGGGATTACAGGCGTGCGCCACTGTGCCCAGCCAGCCAAATGATTTTTAACCATGGTACCAAGACAATTCAATGAGGAAAGAACAGTCTTTCAACAAATAGGGATGGGAAAACTGGATATCCACATGCAAAAGAATGAAGTTAAACCCTTACCTTATACCATATACATAAATTAACTGAAAATGTATCAAATTCTAAATATAAGT